CTCTAATTATTAGTGATTTGGGGTATATTTTCACATGATTGTTGATCTCCCATATCTTTCCATAAATCTTCTGTTTATTTTAATATCCTGAGGGTACCTGCATAGGTGTTGGACTGTATATCTTTTATCTCTTGTTCTTGCTACAGGATAGTAGAGTAGAAAGAGCACTGGATTCAAAGTCAGAGGACCTGAGTTTGAATACTCATTGTGCTCTTACTATCCATATGACCATTAAAGTAATTTTTTCTCTTACAGTTTTGGTTTTTGTCATCTGTTATCAATCAATGAATATTTGTTAAGCACCTACTATGTGCCAAACACTATGATAAGCACTGGAAATTGAAGGAGTTGGACTAGATGACCTCTGGCAACCCTTCCTGCTCCACATTTTTGATCCTATTATTCTATCATGAAATGACTTCTTCTTTAGAATATGCATGACTTCCTTTATGTCTCTTTTATATACCTACCTATGTGCAAATTATTGGTGACAATGTGCTGTAGCCAACTTACACCCAGCATACATTTTGCCATTGACCTGAACTTTTGATTTTTCTTCAAACATGATGTTCCATGATTCACAACCGTATAGGACTACTGGGAAGATAATGTTTCTTTTGTTTCTTTTTAATGGTGTTTTGTGGCAGTAAGCATCTTAGGATCAATGCACCATTTCTGTTGTTGTTCATCCTTCACTCTCAAAGAGGACCAATTTCTAGAGATGAGGAAAGAGAAGTGAAGTGGACACAGTGCTGGTCCCAGAACTAGGATTCAAACCCAGGCCTCTTGACTTCAAGTTAAGCACTTTCCCCAAAATATCACAGTTGCCTCTTGTACTCACTTTACTGCACTAGAACAGGGGCCATATGTGGTCAGCAGGAATTGGAATATTCTTAGAATGCCAAGCCATTGACTCACTCATCTAATATCAAGGTTTGTTAGTTCAGTGTATTCAAACCCTTAAGGGATTAGGACCACCTGTTCAAATTCATTTTTCTTTCCATCTCAGTCACTGTATTCACTGTCTCTGTTAAGGAATTTTCAACAACCCTGAGCCCTCTTCACCAACAAGATCACAAATGGTGGAAAACTATAAAAGAAGTTATGGCTCTTTAAATAAGGATGTGACATGGCATGCATGGGTCCTGTGATGTTATTATTAACTAATCACCCACACAAATGGCTATCCTAGTCATGCAGCAACCCAATCTCAATTCAGGAGAAAGAGTGTGGGAATCATCTGGCTTCACTCTGTTTTCCAATCACTTTGAATTGCTTGGGCAACCTTCAGTCATCAAAGTAAAACAGAGAATCAAAGCAAGTTAGAAGTGGAAGAAATCCTAAAGACATCCTATATCTTTGTCACCAAGGGCAAATGGAGGTTATACCTTGAATTCTTATGGTCTGTGGAAAGTAGGCTTTGGATTTTCTTATTAGGTGAGCCCTTGATTTAGCTCAGTCCCTTCTTAGGGCCTCAGAGCTAGACTGGCTGGCTTCAAATCCTGGCATAAACTCTAGTCCCACATCTGCTGAGGTCTTGCATGCTTGACCTTTTGAAATTCACAAGATTGTAGCCTTGATTCTCCTTTATCTAAAAGATGAGAACAGAAAAGAGTACATGAACTGAAATAGTGGTAAAATTGTTGGACGAGGCAGGGGTTTGTGAAGTTTGGATTCAGTCAAAGGGCTGCACTTGAGGATCTAAAGAGCCACATGCGACCTCGAGGCTCTAGGTTCCCCACCCTTGGACCAACCAAAATGGAAATCAGGGAATTATGGAAAGCAGGGAGAGTTTGCAAAACATAGAGAAAAAAATGGTCTGTTGCCTCTAGGAGCGCTGCTTAGTGATCTGGTTTGACGAGGATTTGCCCTGATCACACTGTACGGATAGTCAAACCCTGATTGTGACATTCAGTGTAGATTTTTCTGGGTCAGTGCCAATCTTAAGTGAAGAAAATATACTCTGCATTAAGAAAATAAGGCTCTACAAAAAAGAATATTCTCAATCTGGCTACATGCATTCATCTGGGGTTTGGTGAATACAAACACCCTAACCATTAGGAGAAACCTTGAAGTATCTTGTAGTGTGGTAAAGCACATATAGATTTTGGTCCTGCTTCTAGGAAGAATTGTACCATTGCTGAAGTGGGTTTGCTATAGAGACCAGGATAAAGGAGAATTTAAAGTTATACTCACCCTTGTTTTGGGGGGAGAATATATTCCCAAGCAATCTTAAATTATTGCCTACTTGAGCACCAGTATTTTTAAGGTTGAACCAACTCAGCAAGTCTCTTAAGGATACATGAAGACTTGCCCTATTTCTCTCCATCATGTGTATAGTACAAAAATAGTGCTGGGTTTTTTTTTTTTCCTGGATATTTGAAACTCTCTTGTGATTAAAAGAAAAAAAGAAAACCAACCAACCATGCACCAGAGAAACATATGGAGCTACTAACAATATATTTTATGTAAAGTCCCTTTATTTTAGCATTGGTAAAAATTTGGTTTTATTGTACAGGGGGAAAAAAAGAACATACTTTAAGGCCTCATTAACCCTTTGCCATTGTATTGAAATTTAATTAAATTAATGAGCTTCTTTGCTTTTATCCAGCCTCTTCAATAATTCCCGTTTGTGATTTTTAAATGGGTTCATGGCATGTTTCTTTGTGATAAAGGGCTTTTTTCTATTATTAAAATTGGAGAAATTAATGAATACCTTTTATATCTGTTGATAGAAAGAAAATCTCAATGACTTCAACTTAATGTACATTATATATACCAAGTTGTTTAAATGGTAATACCCTGTGAAGTGTTTTTATTTCTCAAGAAATTAAAATTAGAATCGGTATCTTCAATACTACTCCAGTAAACTCTCTTATCCAGCATGGGAGGAGAGAATTTAAGCTCCTTAACCTGCTTTCCTCCTTAACCTCCCTAGGCCTCACTTTTCTTAACTATCAGGAGAAATTAAGTTAAATAACCTCTAGTCATCCTCTGATCCTGAGGAGGTGCTTAAAGGTTTTGTGATAATTGAAGATCATTTTTAGTATCATCAGTTATGTCCATCGGTTGCATAGTAAATGGGATACTTAGCCTGAAAAAGGAAACACTTAGGGAAGGACATGTTCAATACCTTCAAATATTTGAAAGGCTGTCATGTGAAATAGTAAAGTAAAAATAGCATTTCTATAGAACTTTAAGGTTCACAGAGTACTTTACACTTGTTAACTCATTTGATCCTCACCACAACTTTGTGTGATCATTGTCCCCCATTTTACAGATGAGAAAACTGAGACATAGGTTAAGTAACTCACCTAGGGTCATATAGCTAGTGTCTGAGGCAGGATTTGAATTTATGTCTCCCTGACTCCAAGTCCTGCACTCAAGATACTATCTAGCTACAGGAATAGACTTGTTCTGCTGAACCCCCAAAGATATAATTACCAGCAGTGGATGAATGCTTCAAAGTGGCAAGTTTAGACTTACTATAAAGAAAACATCTCCTCACAATGTGAGCTAACCAAAAGTCAAAGAGGCTACCTCAGGAGGTCATGCATTCTCTTCACTAGAGGTCTTCAAGGAAAGATGTGATGACCACTTTTGGGGAATGTCATAGAGGGGGTTCTCATTAGGTTGGAATAGATTTGGCAGAAATTCTGGTCAACAGAGATTTCTGGTTGGAGAATGCTGGATAAACTATCTTGTACTGAGAGTACAAGACTGAGATTTCAGACAGACCCTAGTAACTCATCACTCATTAGCTTGTTGCCAAATAAATAAATAAATTAGCCTGGGACTCATAGGGTCATAGGTTTAGAGCTAAAAGAAATCGTATAGGTCATCTTGGACAACCTTCTCATTTTGCAGATATGAAAACTGAGTCACAGGGATCCAAAGTAAGAAGAGAGACTTTAGCTGTGAATTTACCCAACTTTATTTTGTGCACATAATGTTTATCTTTATGGAGGAGTACAAAAACAAACTAGTTTCCCTCTAGGCCAACTATACTTCCTACACCTCCTTAAAGGAAAGTCTACGGTCTACTCTCCATGGACCATAAGGGTTCAAGATATAACCTGTATCTGCTCTTGGTGACAAAGATATAGGATGATCTCTAAGATTTCTAACCTCTAACATGCTTTAATTCTATGATTTCCTTTGATAATTGAAGGTTGCCCAAACCATGCAGAGTGATCAGAAAATAGAGTGAGGCTAGATAATTCTCATATTCTTCTGAATTGAGATTAGGTTGTTGCATGGCTAGAATAGTCGTTTCTATAGGCGATTAGTTAATAATAATCTCACAAGATCCACGCATGCCACATTGTGGCCTCATTTAAAGAGCTATAGCTTCCTTTGGAGTTCTCTATCATCTGTTTTGCTTAAACTCTACACATGATATGTCCTATTGTTTATATCAAGTTGAAATGAGTGAATCATTCTTTCTATCATTTATAATATAAGTGGAATTTTTCAAACCACTCCATTTATTTTCTGGGTGTAGATTTCCCAGGAAATGCAAGAAACCCAATAGTCTTGCATTGGCTTTTTATAGTAGAAAAGATTTTTCTACACAGTGCTATTTAATACTGTCATAGGTATCTGCGAAGCTGCTCAGATTCATCATTTCATATGTGAAAAAAGAATATAATTTTACAGATGCCTTTGTTTTAAAAGAATGTATGATTTATATACTGCTTGGGAACATATTTTAGTCCTTCCTTGTTAAAGCTGAGATGGGGTTGTTTTCTTCATGGCGTGTCATCTACTGTATTGATAAATCATTTTCATACTTTTCTGGATTTTTCCCCCTTCACCTGAGCAGGTGGTGTTTTATATGAAGACAAATAAAAACCTGCTGATACTGATGCATGAGATAAGTTTAAAATAGAGATTGGATTAGTTTGGAAAATTTTGAAAGGTTTCTAAAATCTTACCTTCTTGCTCTGCTCCTTTGTAATGTAATCTTTTTTTGGGTTTTTGTGTTATTTCTCCTCTAGGTAACCTGTTGGTTTCAGAAAACCATAAAAGATTTACAGAAGCAGCACCTAGGTTCATCACTGTCAGAAAATGAAGATTTAATTCGTAAGCATAAGGAACTGGTGTTAGCAGCAAAGGTAAGACATATATCTCTAAATTTCTCTAAGCTGATAAGTTGTGGATAGGCTGCAATCTGCATCGGTGAATGGTGGTGGAGGGAAAATATTTTTCCCACAGTGATGGAATTACAGGCCTTTGACATAAATATAAAAGTTTTGAAAAGGGTGTTATCTCAATCTTCCTTTTAGGATGAGTACAGATGACAGGAGAATTCATCCATTATTCATATCTAATAATAATAATATTCATATTCTAATGGAGAATTAGTTCATATTATTATCCTGTGTTCTGGCATATCTTGTCTAGTAGCTAGATCTTTTTCTTCTCATTATAGTATCATTATGAGATTAATTTTATTATTTTCTATTACAGAAAAAAACTGCTACTACCTATTACTTTCCCTCACTTGCTTTTCTTCTTCCAGTTCCAAGAAATTATACCTACTAGTTTATCCATCTGTACTATGTGGGTTATTGTGTTGGAGTGGGAAGGAGAGGGGAGACAAATAAAATTCTTACCTCAGTACTTTGTAGGGCCTCTATAGTGCTTTAAAGATAAGAATGCTCATTCTCAGTTAATCGGGTGGGAGTTATGAAGACTTGATGAGTATCAACTGAAGCAACTGGTAATGTTTTTGCCTAGAGAAGGAAAAAAACACAAAGGGAACATGATTACTGTCTTCAAGTATCTGAAGGGCTATATTGTGGAGGAACATTTCCCTCTTCAGCTCCACCTACCAGCCTCCCTAGCTTCCTTTAAGTCCCAATAAAAATCCCATTTTTTTTTTTTTTTTTGTTAAGGCAATTGGAGTTAAGTGACTTGCCCAGGTCACATAGCTAGTAAGTGTCAAGTATTTGGTCTGAGGCCAGATTTGAACTCAGGTCGTCCTGACTTCAGGGCCAGTGCTCTATACTCTGTGCCACCTAACTGCCCCTAAAATCCCATCTTTTACCAAAAGCCTTCTCCAACCCCTCTTGATTTTTATTAGTACCTTTCCTCTGTTAATTCTTTCCTATTTATGCTGTATATAGCTTACTATATATGTATTTGTTTGCATGTTGTCTCTCTCATTAGATTGCAAGCTCCTTGAGGACAGGGGCTGTCTTTTTCCTCTTTTCTATCCCCAGCACTTAGTACAATACTTGGCACATAGTAGGGACTTGATAAATGTTTATTGATTGATTGATCAATTATGCCTTGACCCTAGAAGATCTAATTAAAAGTGATGCTTGGAAATTGCAAAGAGACAAAAAGAAAAGACAAACAAAACTCTTGATTTCTTAATTCATGGTAAAGCAAAAAAAATTCCAATTTTGACTGTATCATATATATGTATTTGCATATATACATATATACATATACGTGCATGTATTTGCATACATGCATACATATACACCCTGAGTCCTTCAGTTTTATGTCAGGAGAAGGTAGGTAGCTTGCTTTATCATTAGCCCTCAGGAATCATAATTGATCATTGTGTAGATCAAAGTACTTAAAGCTGCCAAAGTTGTTTGTCTTTGCAATGCTGTTATTATATAAATTGTTCCGTTCATTCTGCTCACTTCACCTTACATCAGTTCATTTAAGTCTTCCCAGTTTTCACTGAAACCATCACTTCTTGCAATATGAAAATAATCCATCCCATTCACATACCATACTATGTTTAGCCATCGCCAATTGATTGGCACCCTTGCCTTTCAGTTCTTTGCTAGCTACGACAAAGAGAGTCGCTATACATATTTTTTTTGTTCTCTTTGGTCTAGTAATAGTATCACTGGGTTAATGGGTATGCACAGTTTAGTAACTTATCGGGCATAGTTTCAAACCGATTTTCAGAATAACTGGAGCAATTTCACAGTTCCAACAACAGGGCATCAATGTGCCTCACTACAGCCCCTCCAATATTTGTAATTTTCCTTTTATCAACTTTGCCAATATGATGGGTGTGAAGTGGAACCTCAGAATTGCTTTAATTTGCATTTCTATATTTATTAATTTGGAATAACTTTTTTCATATGATGATTTTCCAGCTTGGATTTCTTCCTTAGAAAACTGTCTGTTCTTATCCTTTAAACATTTTTCAACTGGGGACTGGCTTTTTTTTTCTTGTAGATTTGAATCAATTCCTTATGTGCCTTGGAAATGAGACTCCTATCAGTAAAACTTGCTACAAAGATTTTTTTTTGCCCAGTTACCTATTTTCCTTCTAATTTTAACTGCATTGAATCAAAATTATCCATTTTACTTCCTGTGATCCTCTCTATTTCTTGTTTGGTCATAAACTCTTCCTTTATCTATATATCTGACAGGTACATTTTTCCATTCTCTCCTAATTTGCTTATATCACCCTTTACATCTAAATCATTTATCCATTTTGACCTTATCTTGATATACAATGTGAGATGTTGGCCTGTGCCTAGTTTTTTCCAAACTGCTTTCCAGTTTTCCCAGCAATTTTTGTCAAATGGTGAGTTCTTGCTCCAAAAGCTTAGATCTTTGGGTTTATTGTGTCTTCTGTGCCGTGTCCTAGGGTGTCTTCACCAAGGTCTGAGGACAGGAAGTAATTTGATCTGGCTGGCACTTGCTACCTCCTGTCTGTTTTCAGGATGTCTTGGTCTTTTAGTGAAACTGGTTCAACTGCCTAGGTCAGCATTTGGTGTTGTTGGTAGCAGAGTCCTTATTCCAAAGGAGTTGCTCCTCTTGACGATGGCTGAAGGAACCTGACTAGAAAGAAAGGTTAATGATCTCAGTATAGATAGTCTTACTTTCTGGCCAGAACCTACCAAATGGCAACCAGTAAGGATCTAGCTGCATACTGAAGCTAGAACCTTATCCTTATCTCTAAGTGTCTTCCTTGGGTATCTTCTTAGGGGAGCTTTCCTGAGGGACCTGATCCTATAACATAAAACCATTGACAAGTGATTTGACTACATGGGATCTTTCCCTCTGTATTTGACCTCCTTGTATTATATCCCTAGAATTTTCTTCAGTTTAGTCATTCTTCAGTCATATCTAATTCTCCATGACTCCATTTGGGGTTTTCTTAGCAAAGATACTGGAGTAGTTTACTATTTCCTTCTCCAGCTCATTTTACAAATGAGGAAACTGAGGCAAACAGGATTAAATGACTTGCCCAGGGTCACACAGCTAGTAAGTGTCTGAGGCCAGATTTGAACTCAGAAAGTGAAGTCTTCCTGACTCAGCCTGGCACTTTTATCTACTGAGCCGCCTAGCTGCCCTAGTATTAGTATGGTTAAATTAAAAGATATGGTGACTTTGAAAGAATTGTAGTTTTCCCATTTATTTCTCTTAACCTAACTATGTTTATTGTTTCCTTTTCTTAAACTGTGCTATCTCTTCTAGAGGAGAAATTGTGTAATGGATACTTCCTGCTATCAGGAAGACCTACTTAAGATACTAAATGTGTGAAACTATGGAAATTACTAAATCTCTGTGAGACTCAGTTTCCTCATCTGTAAAATCAGGGGGCTAAGCTTGATGACCTTTAAGATTCTTTCTAGCTCTAACTCTCTGAACCTATGACTCTTGGTCATCATAGCCACCATGCTTTTGGGGCAGGGAAAGCAATTCAGTGAAGACATAATAGGTTCTACTCCAACTTCTAATTTTAACTTTGTACAGATATTTATTTTAATGTAAACAACTAATTTGGGGGTTTGACTTTATGTTTTCTTTTGCCAGCCTTTTCTGATTTATGGGTCATTTCATCCCATTGACATTTACTATTATGGCTATTAGGTTGTTCATTCTAGCCATCATATCCTATTACAATCTTATGCCTATTTCCTCTATCCCATTGTTTAAAAGAAAAAAAAGAGGAATGATGTAAATGCTAGTTATTTGTACTTAGAATAGTGTGATCATTAATTTGATGATATAATGGGTAGTGCACTGAGCCTGGAGTTAGGAAGACTTGAGTTCAAATCTAGCTTTAGACACTATGCAACCTAGGGCAAGTCATTTAATTTCTGTCTGCCTCACTTTCCTCAACTGTAAACTGGGAAAAATAATAGCACCTGCCTCCTGGGGTTGTTGTGAGGATCAACTGAGATAGTATTTGTAAAGTGCTTAATACAGTGCCTGGCACATAGTAGGTGCTATTAATAAATCCTTGTTCCTTCCCTTTCCCCTTCCCCTTTTCTTTCCGCAACCTCTCTTCCTCTAAACCAAACACAAATACATTCTCATTCTTTCTGCCTCCTATAATATAATCCAACCTTCCTACTTGCTTGTGCAAAATCTTTTTAATTTACTGTAATAAAAATTATCCATTTTACATCTCAGCCCTTCCTAATTGAAGGAGGGTTTTTTGTTTTTGTTTTTGTTTTCCTTATGACTTCTCTTTCCCTAAATCTACTCTCCCTTTTAAATCTTTCTCTTCCCTTGCCAAAATCTAGTTTCTTGTTCATTGTCATTGCTGGAAAATGCTTAACAACCAACTCTTTTTTTTTTTTGGAGGGAGTGATGACTTTCTCTTTTGTACAGTATAGTTCCTTTTTTTTTTTTTTGGCTAGGCAATGGGGTTAAGTGACTTACCCAGGTAACAAGCTAGTAAGTGTTATGTGTCTGAAGCCAGATTTGAACTCAGATCCTCCTGAATTCAGAGCCTGTGCTCTATCCACTGTACCACCTAGCTGCTCCACAACCAGCTCTTAAGGGGGGAAATGTATCAGTGACACACTTCTCATTTTAATCCACAGTATTAACATTTTCTCAATTACTTTCTTAAGTCTAGACAAGCAATGAAACAGTAAACCAACCACTGATTTTGTAGCATTTGCTTATTTCTGAAATGTAAATGAAAGTTTACACTGAAAATTTAACAGTTACCTTTCTTAAGCCCTTCCAAGATGTCTTCAGCTCAGCTCTGACCTCCTTCCTTCTCATTGTCCCTTTACATGGCTCAAATAAGATTGAGGTCTATTAGATTCTCCACTCTACCACCCCACCATCTTTATGGTTGTCAAGTTTTCTGGATGTCTCATAGGCATCTCAA